TATCTCACTAAAATAATCTTTTAGTTGGTGATTTTATTAACGAATTAGAAGACTTTATAAGTTGTGATGAACTTTTTTCAGTCAAATTTGTGCAGTCAAAAATAGTTGGAATAGACTTTAATTTTTTTATTAATCTAAAACGCTGATTCTTGTTACCTTTCTTATAATATTTATTTTCAAAATGTTTAATGCATATAACGGAAGAATTAGTAGGTGTCACATCTTTTCAATTTACAATTTTAATCCAATTTTTTTTTAAGCATTTTTTGGAAAAGAAAATGCTACTGTAGATACTTCACCATAATTATAATAATTTGAACGACAATTTACAACGCAACATTTGTTAACCATCTTTTTGAACTTTAAAAGCCGCTTTCTTAAAAACACTTTTGGGGTATTTAGTTACGTCATAAATTACGTCATAAATTACGTCACACAATTTTTGACCGTTTTTGATCCCCCCCCCCCCTCGTCACAAAATCGTAACACTAAAGAAGCAATTCGTCACAAAACCACCAACCCCAGCCCCCCCCCCCCCCGTTATAGCGTGACGTAATTTATGGACGACTCCTTTCCAGAAATCAGGCCTTCTATTTTTTTCTTCAAAATGCAAAATATCCAGCCGTTTAAATAAAGTAGGCCATGGTCATACTCATTTTCTTGCTCCATAGTAGAAACGTTGTTTTGTAAAACTAATTTTGTAACGTTTTAAAAAACGTTGTTTTATAATACGTTGTAAAACTTATGTACGGCTAATTAAATGCCGTGTGCTAGACATAATTGACATTGAATCTGTGAAACCTGTCCAAACCTTTTATTACTGCACCTTCATCAGTCGCATCTACTTATCGCTCAGTTTGAGATTCATAAACTCTTTTTTTCATATTTTCTCCATAGTTTCTTCGTACGTATTTTTTGCATTTGGAGATTTAGAAATACTTTCAAAACCTTTAGCTTGTCGTAAGCTGCAAAGATCAGTTGAAGAACTAAATTTTGCAAATGGAAACTATTCTTAGTAACTATGCAAGAAACAATTGCAGAAAATGATTGACTGGTTTTGTTATTAAAATATAATATAAATTGGTTTATATTTGTTGAGTCTTTTATAAAAATTTTTATTTCGGATCTTGTACCATTATTAGCACCTTTTTTTTTTACTATATATATATTTGGTGAGTACTTTTTTTTATTATTCAGTATCCTGAAGACCAAGAACAAAAGTTTTGAAATGGATACATTCTTTGTTACATGTAGAACAATAATAGCTCAAAGTGTTTTCATTAGTTTTATTTTTTTATTAGTTATTTTTGTTTAAAAAAAAAGCACAAGTATGCCATCATAGGCAACTACTGCTCTTCTGATGGCATAGGGGAGGATGGAGTTGGTTAGCATCAAGGGTAATTTGACAATTTCATTTGACCTTAAAGTCTTCCCTCAGAAATGCCAGAAACTACGCGTAATTCTCCTAATTAACTCTTCGTGCTACACAGCATCAGTCAAATTTTGCGCATGCGCATAAGAGATATTGCGTTTTATGTGTTTTTTAAACCATAAATTTTTTTGTGAAGTAAAAATTCTTTTTTACTTAAATAACAAGTATGTTATTTTTATGAAAAAATTTTTTTTTCTCTACTCTCAATATTGCAACATACCTAACTCGTGATAGGAAGAAGTCATCATTTTAATTTAAACAAGCTTTGTGTCTTGTTCAAAAGATAAAATTCAAGTAAGTATTCCACTAAATGTACAAAACTTGTAAATAAAATGCATAAAAATTTTATTTCTGCACAGGTAATATTAAAATCACAATTTTAAATATTTAAAGGGATTAAAAATACAACAGCACATCCCAAAACCGATATTTCTTTATTATAAAAGCAATATTTATGCATAAAAGACGTATTTTTACTAAAACTAATATAAAGTCAGTATAGACAGGTTGGTCTAATCACTTTTTTTCCATAACCAATATTTATTAAAATATGACTGGTATGTCATCATAGGCGCTATGCCATCATAGGCGCCTTTCCCCTATATATTTGCACCCAACAAAGTTACAAACAACAGTCTTTGTCAAGCATGAAATATTCATGCTTAGGGTTAACATACGTCCCTGGATCTGTCCCTACTTTTTTAATTAAAAATTTTATCCAGGGAAGTTTCCTCAACTAAAAATGTTCGGATTTTCACTTAAAACTCACCAAATAGGTTTTACTTTTAAGCAAAGTATTTTTGTAAACCAAAGCTTTAACGCGTGTATTAAGCGTTATCAAAGTTTCTTTTTATGACGGTGTAGCGGGAAATTAAGACCCCAGGAAATTTAAACTTCAGACTTTTGTTTTCCCGACGTCATGGATCATAATTTTCCGGGAAATTATGATTGGAGCGGAAAATTAATTCAAAAAAATATGACTTACTTACTTACAAATCGCGAAAAAAATATACAAAGTCATTCAATTATAAATTAAAGTCGATTTGAGCGCAAAAACATGTGAAAATAAAACGTTATGTAACTTTTTATTTTAATAAACAATTTTCACAAATAAACACACGAGTGCTGCTTCATAGCCAAGGAAAGAAAACACTTTGATTGAGATAAAAGAATATCTTAAAAATGAAACATAATCCTCTACTATACTTACACGTGATTATGAATCGAAATCAATTTTCAAAGAGCAACAAAACGTTTTGAAGTAAAATACAATTACTTTGTTATTAAAAATAAGGAATGCCTAATGAAAATTATTGGATTCTGAACACTCCAAAGCAAAGTCCTCTCATAGAGGGAAAAACACTAGATATGACAAGATTGCACAACGATTTTCTGGCATAATATTACTGCTGATATCAGCAAAAATATAAAGAGTTGCGAAAAGTTCAATAACCGGTGCAATAACCGGTGACCTAAAGTTTTTTTTTTTTAATTTATTTGTTATTTAGGTGCCCCAAGAAGACCTAACGGTCTTTTCACAGAGCACCACGGAAGTGCATTTAACCAGGAAGTTCACGCCTCCTTCCGTACGGTGATGCGAAATATGTCCAGAGCTCATTTCGAGCCTAGATCTCCTGCTTATAAAGCAAGCGCTCTAACCACTGCGCCACGGCCGCACAAAGTCTCCAAAAGTAGGTCGGGAATTCGTAAATGAGGTATGCAAACAACTACATAACTGGGTAGAACAGAAAGTTACGTTTGCTTATCACCCGCAGGGGAATGGATTGGTAGAACGTCAACACCGAACAATAAAGAATTTTTTGATAAAGGTTTTGGAAGGAAATCCTGAAATGTGGTCGCAAATTATCGAGGGTATTCTTTTCGCTCATTGCGTTTGTCAACATTCTTCTACCCTCCTCTCCATTTATGCTGATATATAACCGCGAGCCAGTTTTGCCAATTAATATGGAGCATAACCTAGTAAAGGATGAAAGCAATAAACAAGAATACAGAGAAGGAGATGCAGATGAAGAGCAGCCATTTAATCTTAAATATTTTGACGCCGTCTTTTCATTAGCAAATGAAAGTCAGAACAAAAGTTCCCAATAAAGCAGCTGAAAATATTAACTCTGCGCAGAAAAAACAAAAACCAGATTATGATCGTAGAGAATTGTCAAAAATGGAAATAAAGGTTGATGAAATTGTGTTATTAAAAAACGACAAAAGATTTGATCGGAAGGGTGAGAAGTTTTCACAAAAATGGCTTAGTCCTTACACTGTTATAAACATGTCTAAAAAAGAAGTTGCGACTTTAAAAAAATGCATCGGGATTGAAATTTTACCGTGACATCGGTGTAGTTGATAACGTAAATATAAAAAAAAAATTAATCGAAAATTGTGAGTTCGAATTTTAAAGCTTTATTACATGTTAAAACTATTAGCGTGGATTCTATATTTTGTTTTTTTGTCAAAGTTGTTGATTCAAAAATTGTATTCAATCTTTATACGGTTTTATATACAAAGTTTTTTAGGGATTATATTGAATGTAACTAAATATAAGTTGAATATTATATATTCAATTTTGAATTGTTTGTTTTATAATTTTATATTATTAGTAAAATGTAGTTAAAATGGATAAAGAGGTTAAAACGTGGATAAAAGTGGTTACTTTTAACAGTTTTTACATTAATCATAAAATTCAATGTCTTGTCTCAATAATTTCTTGATGTTTTTATCCTTTTTTTTTCTTTCCGATATATAGACAGAAAAATCATGTAATTTTATTATACTTTTTTTCTTCTTGAATCTTAATTTTGATAAAGTATCCAAAGTAAACTCTGTGATGGTGCTCTTTGGACAAAGTTTGTCTGTTAAAGAATAGAGCAATTTCTGTATGTTTATAATTAGACATAACACTAATGTTGGTTGAGGTTAAGTACGAATCAAAGTGAACTTGAGCAGTTATTATATTTGATGATAAAGTAGAACCAATATTTACAAAAAACTAATAAAGTGTTTTAGCCGCTACGGATTTATTTAAAATGCGATTATTATTTGTTTTAAGAATTTCATTATAAAAATATCTGTATAAATATTTTTTCTGATTACCTCCTTAATAATATGCCACTTATTGAATCATTTTTGTGTTTTGTTAATTGTTCAGAATAGTAATTTTTTTTAAAGCGCTTTAAAATAGCCGTTTATATTTTTTATAATTAGTTCCATTTTTAAGAGTTTTTTTTATAATTAACTTATATGAACGTTTTTTTTTTTTTTGAAGGTTTAAGAATACCCCTAGTGGTCGAAGGGTTTAAAAGTGTTTTTGTTTTAAATACTTTAGCAACTTCTGGGAATACCTTGTTATAAAGATTAAAAAATTCAGTTAGAAATTTGAATTCGAATACAATGCTAATTAAATTTAATTAGAATATTCACGAATTTATTTTGTGTTATTGTATAGGTTAACTACTATTTTGTGTTATTGTATGGGTTAAGTTTTGTAATACAAAAAAAGCTGCTATTATGTTGTTATTGTTGTTCAAAGCTTACCTCTATATTCTTAACATACCTCTCGATTGTATATTTGTCTTAGATTGGCGAATAACTCCTGCTTCTGCTCCTTGAGGAATCCTGCTTAGGTTAACTGCAGGCACTAAGCCATCATAATCTTCATCTGCATCACGTTTCAACCTAAAAGTTTGTTTTGCTAAACCGTTCATTAAACCTTAAACATTTCATAACAATATTCATAGTTTCAGAAGACTCTGATATCAACTGGTATTTGAGTCTTAATAAAACTTTGATAGAACTTAGATAAGTAAACTTAGATAGTAATTGATCTTTTAGATAACTACAAATACATTAAATAAGACGGATTACAAAAAATATAAATAAAACATTAAACAAACATTAAACAAGACTGATTATAAAAAAAATAAGCTTAACATTAAACAAACCTAACATTCCACCAACCATCTGAATACTTTACTAATACAAACACAATATCTCCCAAAGTCAAAGACAACTCGTCAGGTTGTTCCGCTTTATAAGTTTTTATGCAAAAAAACTTTTCTTCTAATTTTGCAAAAAAAAATAAAAAAATAATAATTGTTAAACTATTTATATAAAATTATGGACACTATATATACTTTGTTTAATTAAATAAGTAACTGTAGGGGAGACTAAGGCAAGTTGGCCCGCTTTTTTTTCCTTGATATATAACTTTTTAGCTTTTTATTTTTTAATTTTTATTTTTTTTTTTGGGAAAAGGTTGACTAGTGTCTAGACTATCCGGAAAAAAAATTAATAAAAGTTCATAAAAGGTTTTCAATACATTTAAAACTATTTTTGTTAGGTCATGTCGGGTGGGCCAACCTACCCCGTTATCAGGGTAGGTTGGCCCAAGGATTGGGGCAGGTTGGCCAACATACAACTTATGACTTTGAGGTGGGAAAACGCTCATTAAGCAAAAACAACTTTACAATTTGATGAAAGAAACAACTTTATAACTTGATAAAACAAATTTGAAACAACTATAAAACAATAAACTACAAAAAAATAAAGTAAAAAGAAAATATAACAATAACATTTTATTTAACAACAGTAAAAACATTTATAATCTAACTCTTTGCATCTTTTTCTACGCAACTCACATGGGCCCAACACTGACAGCCTGAACACTGTATCCACACAGCACCTGGAAGGCTGTTTGAAAACGGTTTAAAGCAACTAAGACACAAGACATCTTCCTCATTATCATCTTTGTTTTTCTTGTTGCGTTTTTCTTTTACAGGTTACTGGCAAAAATCTTTTTTTTTTTTTAGAGTAACCTGGACCGGCTTCTTTGATAGAAAATAGTTTTTTATTTTTTGAACCTTTCTGTTTTTTTTACTTTTGCTGCTTTCTGTTCCTGTTGCTAGGCTATTTTAACTGGTGTATCCGTTAATATAGCAGAAATTCGTTTCCAATTTCTGAGCATTGTTTTTTCTAGGCTGAGCTTTTTCAAAAGGCCTCACTTCTTTAGGAGATGGTATAAGTGAAGAGTTTGGAGTAACACCTGATGTGCTGTCTAAAATTTGGAAAATTTCCTTTCTTAGATGTTGATTCCTTTGAATTAAAGTTTTTGAAATTTTTTTTGTTTACATTCCACAGATGAAACTTTGTTTGTTTAGACATGCTAAAATCCACAGATGACATTTTAGTGCTTATCTGTTATCTATCTGTTAAATATGATGGCAAAAAATAACTTTCTGAAAAAATATCTCTGTTAAATGGATAAATACCTGTTGCTTGGAAACTACTAATTATGTTCCTTGGAGTTATAGCATTAGGAAGTGCTGTTTTTACTAGACCAGGTATGTTATAGATAGTCATAGGTCGTTTGTTTATAGTAACCCATGCATCACATGCTGAGTTCACAAATTTTTTAAAAGGACGATAAACACTTCTATCTAATGGCTGCAATTTATGACTACAGTGTGCTGGAAAAGATAAATGTGTGATACCATTTTCTTTACAAAAGTCAAGTACTGCTGCATCAAGATGAGAGCTGTGGTTGTCAATTAATACCAGACAAGGGCGATCATTGGAACAACGTGCATGGATAGAAAAATGTTTGATATATTTAAGCAAATTTGTCTCTGTCATCCATCCTGAAGAATGTGCTGATCCATCACACCCTATTGGTCCATCACGAATAAAGTGAGATTTAAAATTAACTCTGGGAAAGATAAAATATGAAGGTATGCTATTGCCAATTGCACTAACTGCCAAAGCCATAGTCATTAATGCTCCGCTTTCTGCTGACCTATCTGGCGAAAGCCTCTAAATATAAAATATATATTACCATTAGACATAAACATTAAAATCTCATTTTAATGTTTATGTCGCTTTTTTAAGTTGAAAAGTATCATTTTAACACATTTGGACTACTTTAGTAAAACTTAAAAATTCTGAACAAATCCGTGGCTAGGATACCCCACACACCCCAATCGGAGAGAAGGGGGCAGCGAATTTAGGGGGACCATTTTCACGGCACTGACTCTTAATGTAGTTTTTTAACAATACTTTGGTTCAATTAACAGATTATTTAGTTCATTAGTATCATTGATGTAGGGAAGATCGGGGCACGTTGGCCCACGGGGTAGGTTGACCCATTCGAGTTTATTCAAAGACTAGACGTTTGGTAGTAATTCAATCCTTTTTCCAAAAAAAATCATACTTATTGGACCATATTTGATTGTGTGGGGCCGTTTTAACAATTTTTAATACATCAAATTAAATTTTAAACAACTTGTTTAACGTGTTTATACTCACTGACGTTTGACAGTACAGCATTATTCAAGTGCTATATTTAAAGCTTATAGTGTAAGGATTAATTTAGTATATAATGTTCCACAAAATTAATTAAAATATTTTAATGAATGATAGACTGTAAAATTTCTCTTTTCCCCTCATGATGTCGTCTTTTCAATGAATGTATAACGTCTTTTTCCTGATTTTTGTATGATAGACTTTAACGTGCTTTGTTTAAAAAAGAACCACGAGGTCTTTCTTAACTTTTAACAAGATATGTAAGTAGTACTTTGTTTTTTAAAGCATTTACATTTTTTAATTTAAATCTTTTACATTTTGGTTTATATTTAGTTAACTTTTTTTTAGCTTTGTCATTTATATATGTTTTTTACTTATATGAATTTTTTAGTTTTTTTAAGGTGGATCCATGGTAAAAAAACTAAAATCTTTAATATTCATGATTTTTTTTTTTTTAATTAAAATCTGAACAATAAATGTTAATGTAATAATAAAAAAATTAAAAAAAATAAAAAAAGCAACTTTAAAATGCTGAATCAGCATAAAAATACAAAAAAAGTGAGTTATTTAGAACAACTGATGCTTAAAAAGTACTCATGCTATCAAGCTAAAAAAATTATAAATTGGAGAAAACGCATTGATAAAGTACCTGAAGCAGGATCATTTTATATTTTTATGCCCTTTCATAATGGCTCCTAAATTAGTGAAAAATCCAAAAATTTGACTTAAAAGTGATAGAGGAATACATATATTTCAATTAAAAAAATACTTATTCTAAAGATCCTGCTTCAGGCACTACCTTAAAGTATAATAAAAAAGTCCTGAAAAATTGAACCTTTAATTATATGTGAATCTTGAGATAAAGTTATTCTAAAGAATAAAGAACGAAGAAAAATGCAAAATGAATTTAGTATTTAACAATTTCCAGCAGAATATGATTCTGAATCATCAGTTTCTTTTTCCATGTCTATGAAACCTTTTTGTACGAGCTCTTAGTTTTTTCCTCTGAGTAATTCGAGGTGCCTTACTTTTTTTGTTCATATTTTTTACCCTTGAATGGTCTATATTATGAGCTCCTGCAATGCTATATTTTCAAAATGTTAAGATGTTTAAATAACTTTCATATCCTAATAAACCATCATTATATGTTAAAACAGCTGATGCAACACATATTTCTAATGTTTGCTTTGAAAAAAAATTATTCTTTGGATATTTTTTCCATATAATTTGGTTAAAAGCTTCATTAGGATTTTGGGTTGTACCATCTAAGCATTTTGACAATAAATCGTCTGCACTAAGGTCAATAAAAATTGGTTCAACTATATGTTTTATAATGGTAGGAAAACTGGTACAGGCTTTTATAGCTATATACAGACTATTATATAATTTTATAGGGGATAAATATAAGGAATTGACTAACTGTTTTTGTTGCTATGCGCGTTGCTATGAACAATAATTGACATAAGAAGACAGATTTGCTGTTTTAAACAGTTGCTGTTTTAATGTAAAGAATGAATAAAAATCACTTTCTTATGAAGGATAGGTAGTTCATCTAATAAAAAAAAAATAATAAAAAAAAGATTTTTTTATTTTTTTTACCATGGATCCACCTTAACTTTTTTAAAATTCTTTTTACTTTTTAAAAGCTATTAAGACTTTACAGCAACCAGTTTTTGTTTCTTTAATTTGCTTGTTTCAGCTTTTCTGTTTACTTTATTAGCGATTCTGTTTGCTATACGTTTGTCTTAAAAAAATTTTATTTTGATTTCGTAATAACTTTTTTAGTAGATGTTTATTGTTTTTTTTTATTATTAAAGATGGAAACAATTATTAATTATAAAGATAAAAATAATGGTGGAAACTTCAATAATATTTACGAAGGTTTGTATCTACCTTTAAGTTGCCTCGATTTTATTTTCCATCTTTGCAGTTTCATTTTATCTATCTTCAATTTGTTTTTTTAGTGCTTAATTTTTTTTAAATAAATAACATAGAATTCGAAGTTTGAATTTCTTATTAAATTCAATACAGGTATATCTCCACCCAAGATTATATATATTTTAAGTTAGTTGAGTCGTATTTTATGTACGTAAACTAAAATGTGCATAAATTAAGAATTTTTTTTTTTTTTTATTTCTTTCTATAAACTTGAATAAAAAATATGAAAGTAAAAATTTAGCAAGATTTAAAAAAAAAAAGTCTATATTTTTATGCTTCGTTTTTTATCACGTTTTTTCAGATGAAAAATGCAGATACCGCAAGCAGTGACGGATCCAGGGAAGGGGTGGGGGTATGTTTCCCCCTCCCCTCCCCCACCACAATCTGAAAGTCTTAAAATATCTTAGATACCTTTTTTATACTTTATTTAGTTGACTAAAATATGGTACAAAATAAGAAAATTTTTAAACATCTCCCCCCCCCCCCCAAACCAAAAACTCCTATATCCATCACTGACCGCAAGCACAATAAAACGAGACAAAGTGGTACAAGAGAAGCTTTATTTACAAGATATTTACTTTAGTTTGTTGGGAGAAATTGGTCACAAACAAAAATTTAATTTTAAATGAATTTGTTATAATTCGTTAAAACTTTTAAACAACATATTTCACCAATAATAATTGTTTTAAAATTGTTAAAACTTTTAAACAACATGTTTCATCAATAATAATACTGTCAGACAATCAATACGGTTTTCGATCCTCTCGCTCTACGGCCGACTTGCTAACTGCTGTAACTAAAAGATTTTATCGTACATTAGATAAGGCGGTGAGGCTAGGGCTATTGCTCTCGACATATCTAAAGCTTTCGACAAAGTTTGGCATGCTGGTCTTCTCCATAAGCTTGCTTTATATGGTGTTTCTGGGAAAGTTTTTGAGATTATCAAATCATTTCTTTCTAACCGGTTTATTAAAGTCATCCTTGAAGGCCAACACTCTTCTTTGTTTCCAGTAACTTCTGGGGTTCCCCAAGGTTTCATCCTGGGCCCTTGTTTTGTTTCTTATATACATAAACGATCTTCCTGACAACCTTTCCTCTAAAGTAGCTCTTTTTGCTGATGACTCAACTTTATACTCCTGTCTTGACAAAAGTCTTCTCTTTTTGATCGCCTAGAACAAGCAGCTGATCTTGAATCCGATCTCACTTCAGTAATAGATTGGGGTTCACAGTGGCTTGTGAATTTCAACTCTAACAAAACCCAGTTGTTTACTGCAAACAACTACCGTAATATGGTCAACATTCCTATATTAATGAATGGCAATCCTCTTACTGAGTCCTCCTCTTTATGTCTTCTTGGATTATCGCTTACTGCTGACCTTTCATGGAAACCATATATACAATCGATTGCTAAATTAGCTTCTGCTAAGGTTGCTTCTCTTTATCGTGCTCGCCATTTCCTTACTTCTGATTCCATTCTCTACCTCTACAAAGCTCTTATTCGTCCTTGTATGGAATACTGTTGTCATATTTGGGCTGGTTCTTCTAACGATTCACTTTCTCTTCTTGACAAGGTCCAAAAACGCATTGTAAATGTTGTTGGACCTGGACTATCTGCTAAGCTTGAGCCTCTTTCCCATCGTCGTAAAGTTGCATCTCTTTCTCTTTTCTACAAATACTATCATGGTCACTGCTGAAAGGAGTTATCATCTCTAGTTCCATCAACTAAAACTCATTCTCGTTTTACTCGTCATTCAGCTAAGTCTCATTCGTTTACTGTATCTATCCCTGCATGCTCTAAAAACTTTTATTCATCTAGTTTTTTTCCCCGCACTTCAATCCTTTGGAACTCTCTCCCATCTTCATATTTTCCTGACTCAGACAACCTTCAACTTTTCAAGTCTTCTGTCAACCGTTTCCTTGCTCTATAACTGTTCTTTTTTTCCCCTAGTAACTCCCAACTTAATAGTGGTTGCTTGCAGCCTTGTTGGGAGTGAATGCAAATCTAAAAAAAAAAAAAATTGACATCATCAGGTATAAAAAATTAGTTACAATTTCTGTATATAAACGTCTTTTTTGGCTATATTAAAATTTTATTAGTTTTTACAATAGTTACCATAGTAACATTTTTTATAAAATAAGTAATTATCAAGAATTTTTACAAAAAATTGTATAAAAGGTTTGAATAAAAAAAAAATAATAATAATTAGGAAATAGAATAAAAAGTTTACTGACTAATTTAACCAGCTACACTAATATAAATTATAAGATCAACCTAAATAAGTGTAGCAAAAAAAAAGCAATAAATATATTTTATGTCACATATTATATTCGTTATTGAAGTAAATTAAAGTAGCATATTGTAAACAGATGGAAAAAGCACTTATTAAAACTCTGATTGACTGGGCCTTTAAAATCAACAGCAACTGGATAAGTTTTACCATCTATTCGCTGGTGGTTATTCCCTAACGTTTAATCTACACAAATTAATTATATTTTCAAAATTTTTATATTCTTTTACTGAAAATTTAAACCAACTTTAATTTAATGGAAAATAATTTGCATAGACTCAATAACTAATTAAATATGTAGATTTTCTGTTTTCACGGTTTTTGCATTCCATTTCAAAAAAAAAAAAAAAGGAAATAAAATTTAACTATTATAAATATATGAAATTAAATAAATACATATATGAAACTAAATAAATATATGAAACTAATATATGTATATATATATATATATATATATATATATATATATATATATATATATATATATATATATATATATATATATATATATATGTATATATATATATGTATATATATATATGTATATATATATATATATATATATATATATATATATATATATATATATATATATATATATATATATATATATATATATATGTATATATATATATATATATATATATATATGTATATATATATATATATATATATATATATATATATATATATATATATATATATATATATATATATATATATATATATATATATATATATATAAATTAGTAGAAAATCACTTAACAAAATTTTTTTTCATTTTACACTGTGTTTCATCAACAAAGACTCATCAGAAATGATGAGTCTTTGTTGATGAAACAAAGACTCATCAGCATTTCTGATGAGTCTTTGTTAATGAAACACAGTGTAAAATGAAAAAAAATTTTGTTAAGTGATTTTCTACTAATTTATAATTGCTCTGTTCTTCTAAGAAGATTGAGCACTCTATCTTGTAGAATACATTTTTTTAAAATTGTATAAATATATATATATATATATATATATATATATATATATATATATATATATATATATATATATATATATATATATATATATATATATATAATATATATATATATATGAAACTAAATAAATATACCCATTCCATAAATTGATTCTTCTATTATATCTCTTTTGTCACAACCAAGTGGTTCTAAAAATGAGCCTGGCGCCCATCCTTGCTCATTTTCAATGCTAACAAACCACCAACCATTATCACACTTTTCTATCACATCCACCACATCACCCATTTTCAACGCAACCTTCAATAAAATTTGTATTCTTAATTTCAAGAAGACATTATTTTTTTAAATTAAAAATTAAGTGTTTTTTAGGAAGTATTGGTATATTTTAGTTGGAAAAAGTAAACTCCAAGTTGAGAAATATTTCATTCAGTAAAATAAAGAGCTAAAGAATTTAAAAATGTAGTAAATGGTCTGTAATAATGATAACCTTGGAAGATTAACTCGTAAAAAAATGATCATAACCTCCTAGAATTAGAAGTGCTTTTTTCTTGTAGAAATCTTAAAAGGAAACTTTTTATGAGTTAATGGTGTAGAGCTCTCGTTTTGTAAGTGCAAAATTTATATTGCTTTCGCAACACAAAGATTGCATACAATTCATATTGTCGACATAATAGGTAGACATAAAAGTGGTAGTTCTAAGAACAGATTTTAGATTGTAGAGTTGTTAAGTGAAAATATAAAAGGATATAAAATATCCTTTTTATATTTTAGAATATAATAAAGAATAAAAAAAAAAATAGAGAGAAGTAGCGAGAACCGTTTTAAGTTGAAAAACTTTGAATTAAAAAATACAAACTGGCATAATCATCACTAGCATGACCAAAAGAAAATGTAACACCCTCCACCAATGAGAAGCCTGAATTGCTGACTTTGAAAGTCATATATTATATAAGTGTATTACTAGTAATAAAATGATGATTGCTCACATGATTAAATAAAAGTCAGAGAATAGCGATGGCATAAAGGTAAGAAAAACAATACAAAAGAAAAATTTATCTATAATAAAAAAATCAAAGCACTCTCAGGACTGAACGTTTATACTGTAATACTTGTCATGGTCTGTAAATTTAACTAAAAAACATTTCTGGTGATATACTGTAATACTTGTCATGGTCTATAAATTAAAAAATCTAGTAAAATATTAAAAAAAAAAATATTTTTTGCGCCACAGTAATAAGTTACTGATTTACAACATAAAAATTAAATTGTACAAAAGAGATACTACAAATATAAAACCCGTTGAAAATAATACGGTAAAAAGGTAAAGAGGTAAAAAATGTGGTGCTATTATAGTAAATTAGAACCAAGTAGTAGATGATAGTCCTCAGGAATGTCCTGCGATCACCAATAACATTTCAGGGAGTTCGAAACCTCCACTAATGCCACTCGTCAGGGGTGTGTTCTTGCAACAGATCTCACAGCCCGCGAAATTTACAAAAAAGTAAAATTTTAAAAAATTACAAAGTTTTGAGGTACAGTGTTCCAACCATTTAATACGAAAATAGAAAAATAGAAAATATCTTTTTAGCTAAATTTAAAATAGAATTGAACTATACGTCTTTATTTGACTTTATTTGACATGTCAAAGTATCAATTAGAGGGAAGAAATTGTCATGGTGGCCACAGTCCTGGAATGTCCTGGATTTTTACAAGTGTCCTGGAATGTCCTGGAAAATTTAATTTTTTAAAAAAATATTCTGAAATGTCCTGGAACTTTTATTTTTCTGAATCAAGTTAAAAAATTACTAGTAATATTGCAGTAATATTAAATTTTTTATGCAAAAAAAAAAATTATATAAATGGTTTGAATTTTGTTTTAAATAACAAGACATTACTATCTATGGTTTATTACTTAATCAAAGGGTTTTCTAAATTTTTAATAAAATATAGAAATATATATATATATGTTTTAAAAAAATATAGAAATATATATATATATATGTGTGTGTATATATTGTATCTATATGTACAACCCTCATATACCTATATATACAGCCCTTACCATAAAACATAGAAACGAGGTCGGTAACTTTTTGACGGCATCAAACATTTTTAAGTCGGCAGTTAAGTAGTAAACGACCCGGGTTGATATTTGACCGGGGCCGGGGCCAGGGCCGAGTTTGATAAAATATAGCCGGGGCGGGGTTTGTGACCGGGGCTGCATAAACATTTATACATCCTAAAGTATTTTTTTATTTAAAATTCATGCTATATTTTGTATATATATGCATATATAAACATCATTATGATCAGCATGATCATCATTATTATTATTATCATCACTATTATGATCATCATTATCACCATCATGATCATCATTATCATCATCATGATCAACATAAATATCATCATTATCATTATCATCAACAGCATAAAAGCGGAAAGCTTGACGATGATGATGACAATTATGATAATGATCATCATCATTATCATCATATTTATCATCATCTTTATCATCATCATCATCATCATCATCATCATCATCATCATCATCATCATCATCATCATCATCATCATCATCATCATCATCATCATCATCATCATCATCATCATCATCATCATCATCATAAGGCTTTAGCCTTCCTCTTTTAAGTTGTTTTTCCAATATAAACAATCTAGAGCATTTTTATTCCTAACTAAGCTCATTTATACAAAATGTAAGGCACTCTCTTCAAATTTTCTTACTTCTACCACAACTATTTTCTACTGAAGCTGCTACCACTCTTCATGTTGATACCTAAATTATTTGAAGAATATGCCTCCTTTTATTGTCTTGCTAGAGTCACACCACACATCCATCTGATTATCTTCTCTTTTGGCAAATACTACACCATATAAATACTAAAGTTTAAATGACAATGAAAGGATATTGTATAACAGCATCTAAACAAATAGCAAACAGATATGTTTATATCCATAATATGTGTGCAAAAAGTGCATTATGGAAGCTTTTATTGCTTCTTGAATGAAAGAAGCTTTTATTACTTCTATTCAGTTTTAAGTCAAGCCTCATTCTACTCCACATTTTTCAACATTAATTACTTTTTTCATCTTTTTTATAAAAACATCTCTTTTAAGAACAAATGTTCTTTTTATTATTGCAATAAGCTAATGTATAAATAAAGTCCTGTCTGATAATCTCTGTTATTCTCAGTGTACAAAATCTTGTATCTTATCTGAGATGTTAGGTTCAGAGACTTTGGTTAGTTTTCAACAGTGTCATTAACTAAAGTAAGTCTATTGTTTAATCTCTAATTTTTGGGTCTGATCTTTTTACTTTTGCCTAGAATAAAGCAGAGCTATTTACAAAGAAATCTTACTCTAATTTGACTCAACTGTCAGGAAGAGTATGGCCGTTATATTCGGCAAGAGTATGGCCGAATATAACGGCCATACTCTTCCTGACAGTTAAACAGATTAACCTGTTGTTAAACATTGAAATTACTCTGGCTTTCAATACTAAAATTAATTCTCAATTAAACACTTCTATAGTTTGTGCTTCAGGCAAAATTTCCATCATAGTCTTAAAAAGTGTTCTCCAGAACTCTTTTTAATTTTTTCTAAACTTTTAAAAAGTGCTAAATAAGTGGTTCCAATTTTTTAAAACTCTAGAAAACACTTTGACCTTTTCATGTATCCTACAATTATTCTTCACTCTGTTATTAATTTCTTATAAATTTTTATGTAAAGGTTTTAAGGTTTATTATTATTTTTTTCTAGCTGCAGTAGTAAAGTTATTCTTGAGGGCCTACCCTCTTATTTATTTCAAGTAACTTTAAGGGTACCACAAGGTTCTATATTTGCTCCTGTATTACTTCTTATCTACAATAACAATCTTAATGAAATCTAAATTGGTTCTATTTGCTGATGACTCAACATTATACTCTTGTCCTGACAAAAAATCGTTACTTTTTAATTGCTTAGAACAAGCAGCCAATTTTAAATCTGATCTTTTTTCTGTAACAGCCTAAGGCTTGCAGTGGCTTATGGACTTAAATTCTGGACTTTAAAATCCACAACTTTTATTAGACAACAAAACTCATTTATTTTCAAAAAAATTGAAAGTTTTACATCTAAAGTACCTCTATTAGCTAAGGACTCAATTTTATACTCTTGTTTTGACAAAAGATCTTCACTTTTTGATTGCTTAGCAACAAGCGCCGGTTTTTAATCTGATCTCTATTGCGTAACAGTCTAAGGCTTGAAGTGACTTGTGGACTTAAATTTTTTAAGGCAACAAAACTCATTTATATACTGCAAAAAAATATTGCAATATTGTTGGCATGCCTATATTGACAAATAATAACCCTTTTACTCTCAGACAAAGTCTAAAAGCACATTGTAAATGTAATTAGACGTGCTTTATCTGCCAAGCTTGAGGCACTCTGCCATTGTTATAAGGTTGCATTTCTTTCTTTTTCTACAAATACAATCATGGTTAATGCTCAAACGAGCTATCATCTCTATAACGATAAATCAGAACTCATTCTCGCTTGGCTATTTATTTAACAAGTTGCATCTTTTTAGTGTAATTGTTCCTTCATGCTATAAAATCTTTTTACAGAATGATAGTTAATCCAGTTTTTTTTCCTTGAACATCAAAAAACCTTATAACTCTTACCCAACTTCATTTTTTCTTTTTTTATACAACTTACAACTTTTTATGTCTTTAGTTATATATTTTCTAGTATTTTAACTGATTCTCTATTTTAAATTAACTCATTACTCAATAGTGGTTGCTTGAAACCTTGTTGGAAGTAAATTAGAGCTTAAAAATATATAAATGTATGCCAGTATTTAATAAATATTAAATATAAGCATAAAATTATAATACATTAGGTATTATAAATTTTTTTCTAGCCCCGGCTAACAACCCCTGCTAAATCTTATAATCTTACCTGGGCCGGGTTTGCAAAAGGTCTTATTTTTAGCCGAGGCCCCGGTCACTTACTACAGTTAAACCGACCTTAATTCCTAGGTCAGTATATATATACAATATATATATATATATATATACATATATGATAAAATAACTTTGTTAAATATATATATATATATATATATATATATACAGCCAAATTATTTTAAACTCTAATATTAACATAATATTCAATCAATATGAAAAAATTACATAATTGATAATATTCATTTAATAGGATATAAAATGTCCTGGAAAAACATAATTGATAATATTCATTTAATAGGATATAAAATGTCCTGGAAAATGCAAAAAAAAGTCCTGTAATGTCCTGGAAATTAATTTTAAAATTTTGTGGCCATCATGATTAGGCTAGTGGGTGAAATGAAGTGACCATATTAAGTGATCAACCAAGTAGAGTAATATGTAATTATTGCAAAGAGAGCATAATTAAAAAAGTAATGAGAGTTAAGATCCATTTTGATAAATTCAGATGTAAGAAAAGAGGAAGCGCTAATAATTCCACAAAAGTATTTAGTGATACATCAGTTTTAGAGTCAAGACCATCTACATCTGCAGCATCAAACAAGTCTAACCAGTCATAAGATAATGATCAAGATATTTATTACTTAAGCTTTATTAGTAAATCTTCCTCAATTGTTCATTTAACTGCAATGACAATGCAATGGCAAACATCCGTTTCTAAATTTGTTACTTCAACAACAAGTAATCAGAAAAATGAACTGGATTTGCAGGTTAAAAGGTTGTTTTTTTTCAAAAAATATACCATTCAACATAGTAGAAAATCTTGACTTGATTACCTAACTGTCTAAAGACCTGAGTGGAAGCCCCCAAATTGAAAACAGATATCTTCAGAACTCTTAGTAAAGGTAAATAAAGAAGTAATCAATATAATAAAATATGATCTTGATGATGTTTGTGCTGTTATCCTAATTCAAGATGATTGGAGTACATTTAGTAATGATTTTATAATTGCTCATAGTATCCAAGACGATACAAAGATGATATTTTACAGAAGTTTAAGAAAGCAATTATTCCTTATCATTTTCTGGACAATTTAACATATCTAAAATGTAAAGGTAACTATAAAATTGTAAAAAAATTAAAAACTTGCATCTGATCAAATTAAAATAAATTCTGATAAAAAATTTTCTTTTAAGTTTACTACTCATAACTTATTTATATAGAAAGAAATTTAGATAGAAGTCAAGAAGAAGCTGAGAAATGGCTGAGGAATGAAAGAACCTTAGATAGAAGTCAAGAAGAAGCTGAGAAATGGCTGAGGAATGAAAGAAATTTAGATAGAAGTCAAGAAGAAGCTGAGAAATGGCTGAGGAATGAAAGAACCTTGGATAGAAGTTAAGAAGAAAAAGCTGAGGAATGGTTAAATGAAGCCTAATTTAGGAATCAGGGTATTTAGGAAAATTAGGAATCTTTTAGGAAGAGGAAAAGCAAAATTGCTTGTACAAATTTACATACATCAAGGTCAAGATGAACAATTGGTGATGACTAAATTGTTAGATAACTTTGTTTTAAACCTTTAAGTTTGAATATTACTACTCCAAATAAAGTAAAATCTCATTAATGATTCACTAAACTTCTTGTTTTTAGAACAATTTTTGAGCAGCATCAAATCTTGAGTGTAAATGGAAACTAATTAATAAATAAAAAAATATTATAAATAAAAAATTTAAAACCAAAAACCCATTAAGTTGGGTTTTTGCTCTTGGGTTTTTGAGTGGGTTTTTGAGTTTGGGTTTTTGGATACCAACCCTGGATTCAATAAATCTTAGAAGTCCCAAATCATGGTGACTTAAAAATTTTTGCAGTATGCTGAATAGTATTTGATAAAATACTTTATTGTTTGATAGTGCAGTCAATTGGTTATTTATATATTTTTGTGCTATTTGGGGTAAAAGCATGAAACTTGGCCTTAATGTTGATTATATTAAAATAATCATTTTAAGACTCAGACCCACTTCCAAAATAGCTCCACCTGTTTCCATGGTAACTGGATCATGACTGTAGCGAAAAAAATCTTAAAAAATAGTAATTTATGCATCAATCGAAAGCTCATAAAAAACGCAATATATACACGATATGCTAAAAATACACGATATGTTAAAAATACACGATATGTTAAAAATACATGATATGTTAAAAATAAATCGGTAACGAGAGGCAGGGCTTTATAAATCTAAAAGCCAGGGGGTAAAAGCATAATATTTTTGTACCAAATAGTATATTTCAATTATAATTAAATGTTTTTATGACAAAAATAGTTTAACCTTTATAAAAATTGTAAAAAAATTTATAAATAATACTAAAACATTTTATTTTAATTTTTAATAAATAGTTAAAAACACTATGTTGTAGATCAAACATAGTGTTTTCAACAGTATTACCCCTTTAAATTTTAAATAAACTTTAAAAACCTGATATATTTAAATCTTTTGGTAAATTATTAATTTAACACTCACAATTGCATTTTTCAATTATAATTAAATGTTCTTTTGACACAAATAGTTTAATCTTAGTAAAAATAAAAAAATATAAAAAAAATTTCAAATACTAAAAAATTTAAGTTTAGTATTTAATAAATAGTTAAAAACACAATGTTACAGAACAAAAGTTATCCCCTGTAAAATCTGTTTTAATTAAAACATTTAGTAAACTATGAATTTAATGCCACAATAGCAAAGTGTGGCACATTTACAAAGACCTCTACAGCCATTCTCTATTTAGCAGACACATCGTATAAGTTCACTGCACATTTTGGAAGCTTCCGACATTGTCGTCCAAACAATTTCGTCTTTCATAATCCAACCCCACTCACATGATTAGGCAATGATGAATTCTTACACAATGATTGTGACCAGCAATACGAAGCCTGGTAAACAGCTCTAGAGATATGTAGTTGCAAAGCATCTTGCGTAGGGGGCATTGAGTCTGCTAAATGCCCTTTTTTTGAAAATAAGTCTTTTCTGCATTTATTAACACTACTGTAAAAACTTGTAGATTCATATAGTAGCACAATAAATCTTTCAATTAAGTGGAACATACTGATGATCTCTTCCATGAGGGACAATTTAAAAATGAATTGAAGACATAAGTGAATTAATTTTTTCCATATAGTGTATTTATATTTTTTTGGTCGCTTTTATTGAGCTTTTGATTGGTGTATAAATTATTATATTTAGAAAAAATAAAATTTTGTTGCTATGGACAGGTGCTAGTTTCCAGGAAACCATCTATGGTGATTTTGAAGTGGGTCTGAGTCTTAAAACGAATGTTTTAACCTTATCAACATGTCCACCGAACGTCATGCATTTACTCTAAATAGTACAAAGTTTGCACCAATTGACTGCACTATGAGTTATTTGTGAAAATGCTTTGTTGTTTGTGTTCTTTGAGAAAATACTTTGTTGTTTGAGTTATTTGAGAGAATACTTTGTTGTTTGCGTTATTTGAGAAAATACTTGACAAAATAAAAGTAGTTAACAACTTTCTAACCTGATTTCGTTCGGTTTTTTCAAAACTTTCTATAGCAATATACTGTTCTAAAGGACTTGGATCAAATGTGTTGTGTGCTGTTTGTTCATTTTTAATAGCCATATCTTCGCTAATGAAAAAAAAAAAAACATTAAATTTTTTGGTATATCTATTGTTTAGTATGAATTTTAACTTTCCATTATAAGTCTTTTTTTATAAGTCATACATACAATTCATTAATCTAAATATAAATAGCGCAATGAATATTATTATTATTATTAGTTTCATTTCACTTTTGTTTTTAAGGTTGTTTCTAGGCTTTTCTATACGCGGTTATATATTCCACAGGGTCTTTCAAGCAAGGTCTTCAAGCAAATTAGAGCTAATATATATTTTTAGTTTAAGAAGAATTGATGTGCTTCATTGTTTAAAAACTAAAATAAAAATTTAAATAATCGTTTGTTTGTTGTTGGTTGCTCTTATTTTTCTAATTTTTATTACCTTTTTTCATTTTCAGAAGAAGTTAGAACTAAAATGATTGGTAAAATAGTTTTTTTAGTACAATATTTCTTTTTTAGTAAACTGCTTCAGTTTTGTTGTTAGTCTTTTTAGAAAATTTTAAGAAAGTGTTGTTTTATTTTTTAGAGCAGTTAAAAGAAGCTGATGGCTTTTTTAGTAAGTTCAATTCAATTTCTTTTTAATAGATCAAGATTATTTTTTGTAAAAAGAATAATGAGAATACAATTTTATTTATGTATTTAATATGAAAAGTTAAATAAAATAAGACTGTTATTTGTGGTCATGTAAGTTTATATACATAAGTTTGCATTTATTTCAGTCTATTTTATATTTCTCTATATCTATGTGTATATTTTCTCTTAGGAAAAATAATTAGTATTAGGAAAACTAAAATAAATTCTTCTGGAATTTGTTAAAGGAACGTTGTGTTAGGCTTCATTTTAAGGTATCTGAATATTTATTTATTTATTAGAAACTTTGAATTTTGTTCTTAAATGGTTTCATCTTTTAGATAAATATATACTGACTGACATAACTTCATTTTTATTAACAAGGTTGTACATTTTCATAGTCTGCATTCTTTGTTACATTAAAAATAATTGATGCTAATAAATGTTTTTTTATAGTTGTTAAAAGTTTGCATATATGTTTATATTATGCTCAAAGTTAAAAAGTTTTTGATAAATACATGTATGTGGTGATATATGTTATATAGTTGTTTTATAGATGTGTTTATATAAATGTGTTTTTATAATAGTATGAAATGTATTTTACCTAATGTGTACATTAGGTAAAATACATTTGATTGTTGATGTGATTGTTAAATGAGGTGTTTTTATATGTTATACAACATTAAAAAATATATTGCGTTTTATAGTTAGTATATATGTTTATATAATATTGTTTCCATTATTTCAAAGTGGTGTGACTTGGCAAACGTGTAGAGCAAGATTTGCCAACCTTACCAGTCAAGTGGTGTTATTGCTTTAGGTCTAAGTGTTGTCAGATATTTGCAATTAACTTCTTTTTTACGTTGATGCAACTAAAAAAAAGTGCTAGCTTATTTCATTTTATTGGATTGAAGTTAGACTCCTAACTGAAGTTTTACTACTTTATTCTCTTTTGAAAAAAATGGTTGAATATTTTTTCTACGAAATTCTCAATTAAATTAACAGTATTTACTACTTCTTTGTCTTTGATATCATAGATATCAAGCACCAGAAGATCTAGGTTTACTTTTTTAAATGGATTACCAATATTTGAAACTACATCAACTCAATTCGTAACTTGAGATACGAACCAATTTTGATGACTTTTAAATTATTCATGATGTTTGAAACTTTTTTCCACAAAATCAACTTCATCATTTTCTGTGTATGGAAAATTTGATTCAAATTCATTTATGCATTGAGCTAACTCAGGTCCACAAATCATCCAGTGGAGTAATTCTCATGAATCTTCCATCAATCCGATTGCACCTTAATTAAGTTTGAAATTTTTTTTTTTAATGCATGGGTGTTTCACTTATAAATAAGAAAAAAATATTACCAAAACAACTTCAACCAATTTCATACTTTTAGATAAGCTTTTTAAATGGACATTTTATTTTTATTGTAAAATTTGTCGTCTAGCCTTCAATAAAACTAATCTGAAAATACATAATGTTATCTTTGATAATTTTTTGCGTAATGTTGTTACCTTTAGCTTATTTTTATGTTGGTGTCTGTTGTTAAAAATTATTATTAGGTAATTTCATTACTAGAACTCACTGCTTTTATTTCTTCTTATAGCATGGTGAATATTATTATGATTAGCGCGTATAGTTACACCTATTGTTCGATATTAGTTACGGTTCTTTATACTGTAAAATACACTATTACTTAGTTTTTAAGTAGTTTTTAGACTTTTCTTAACCGAGTGCTTTCTTAAAGAAGTTGCAAACTTTCATAGTACAAGTTCAAAATGTTTAAGTAGACAATAAGTAGATAATGTTTAGTAGCTTAAAATTATAGGTAATATAAAATCTTTTTAAAATTTTAATAAGTAATTAATTTGTTGTAATCTTTTTTTAAATTGTACTTTTAAATTTAAAGTTTTGTGTTATAGATGTTAATATTGATAATATAGATTACTATAATTCTTAGATGGTGTCTAGCGTTAAAAGATATTTATGGGTAGTTTCATGCTTTTACATGATTTTAATAATTGGGATAAAAGCCATGACAACATTTTGTTATAAATAAAATTTATCTTTAACTATCTTTAGTATTGTTAATACTTTTTCTCTTTGAAAAAAAAAGAAAGAAATAGGCTAAATCGAGGTGAAGTTAATCGTCGCCAAATGTTAAAAGAGCTGTTGGACAAGGACGAATGCATACTTTAACAAGAAGTAATGCTATTCTAGATTGTAATTATTTAGGAAAAATGAATCAAATTTGTCAGCACTGTGGTGCTAAAAAATTTCCAGATGAAACACATTTTCTATGTAGCCATAATGGTAAGGTAGTTTTGTCTCCACTTTCACCAGTAATCTTAGGCCAGACCAAGATATTCCACCAAAATATTTTTAACTATATATTTATGATCCACTTGCAGCAGTAAATTTTAGAATGCAACAACGTGGTAATGATCTTTGTTTACGTGATTTAATGTTTCAATTGCAAACTATAATTACGGAACAAAGTCCATTTGCTCTTGCATTTAAAAACATGGCTGAAGTAGAAGATGAAGAAATTCGTTGTAATGGTAGTATAATCACTGGTATTATGTTTAATGATAACAGATGTATAATATTAGGCTCGAAGAAGTTATTAGTGTAAATGGTAATAAGCGACTTGAAAAAAATTGTTGTCAAATAAAAGAGATAGATCTAGGCATGATAAAATTAATTCTCATTGAATTGTAAGAAATTCTGATTGATGAACAGAAAACTTACTTGCTAGAATTCAGTGTCAAGCAGTGTTGATGTTTATTAATTTGATTTTACATTAGACACTTCAGAATAAAGCAAATGATGAATTTTACTATTTGAGATTACAAAAGAAAATTACTATTTGAGATTACAAAAGAAAAAATTAAAATCATTGAAATTTGAAACTGTTATTAATTGTTACTAATAAATAGTAACAATTAATAACAGTTTCAAACTCGATTTCAAAAATAATTTTTTCAAAAAAAATTTTTTCTTTTGTAATCTTTAACATAATTGAGTTCTTTTTTTTTTTTAGTTGCCTTTGTCATCACTTGATTATTTTTCTTACTGTTGAAACATGGTTTTTTACTTTGTAAATTTAATATAATGTGAAATTTACTATATTAATCATTAGTCAACAGTTAAAGAGAAGCTGGAACTTAATTATGAAATGCTGGAAATTAACTTTTAGTTAAGGTTATTAAATTAATTTTGTTTATAGGTAGCATAACAAAACCAATTATTGTTATTTATTGCATGTCTTATTTACATTTTTTAACATGCTGCTTTTGAAGCACTTCCTCTTTCTCTCTTAGGTGAGACTTAAATGAGAATTAGTACTGGGAGAATTGATAAAACTCATGTAATTACTGAGCTCTTGCGTATTTTTTAATACTGCAATTGATAATGACCATTTATAAGATATACTTTACCAGCTGATTACCAGCTTGCGATTTAAAGATATAATTCTTTAAATTGTTTAACTATAATTGTCCCTTGGTTGTTCAAATATTGTAATAAACAAAATCTTTTTAGTTTCAAGTATTTTACATTAGGGATCGTCCATATCTTAGGTAACACAAAATTAAACTTATAGACAAAAGACATATCTCAAAAACCGTGTTTCTCTCATGGTCAACTATATATTACATGTTCAAGAACTAGAGCATGTAATAGTTTTTTTTTTTAAATTGATAAACATCCTATTCAAGGTATGGTAGGTGAAAAGTGTTACACAAATAATGTTATATTTTTGTGGTTGTGAGCACATTTTGTATGTATAATATTATTTATTATTATTATCATTATTTTTTCATAGTTTTTATTAATATATCTGTCATTTAATATTATTATAAAATGCGTTTATATGTGTTATATAAAAGCCATATTTGTTTATAGTTGTATATATGTTTAAATTATGTTGTTTCCGTGTTTTCAAAGTGGTGTGACTTGGTATTATGTTGAGCAAGTTTGATAACCTTGCCAGCCAAGCGGTGGTTTTATAGCAAAGGTGTTACTTGGCAGTTTTTATGTGGTGTTTTTGTTTTTTGTTTTTTGTAATTATGATATCATAATTTTTATTACTTTTTTATTTTAGATTTACGTTATGATGCATTTATAAGATTTATTAAAAAAAAAACAGATTTCCTTTTATTAAAAAAAATTTGTTAGTTAAAAAGATATAAATATATGCAATTAGTTCAATTTTTTTTAATATTTTATCTATTTTATGCCTAATAATTTGTTGTACGTATCTTAGGGGATCTTTGTAAACAGTATTTCGTACCTAAAAACCTTTAAAAACATGGAGAATACTGTAGTTTTGCACATTTGTCAAATATTGAGTTACTTAAGTTTTATTTACATGTTTAACTAATTAGTTAGGTTAGTCTGCATTTGCAACTTTTGAGGAAAGAAAC